TAAGAAAAAAGTGAGAGAAGACATCAGTTCAAAACATTTAAAAAAGGGAAAAGCTACTGCTGTGCTCCCTATATAAACAACCAAGAATGCTCTACAAAACCAGTGTCATGGATTTAATGTTTTTATTTGTAAAATAATTTTTTTTTTATATAAACAATTGTAAAAAAATGAAAAAAGAGACATCAGTTTAAAACAGGGGTGAGCAAACTTTTTGACTTGAGGGCCGCAATGGGTTCATATATTGGACCCGGGGGCCGGACCAAGAGTAGATGAATGATGTGTATGTGTCATCCATAGTAAGTATAGTAATATTCCCCCATAGTAAGCATAGTAATTCATCCCCCATATAGTAATTCATCCCCCATAGTAATTCATCCCCCATATAGTAATTCATCCCCCTATAGTAATTCATCCCCCATATAGTAATTCATCCCCCATAGTAATTCATGCCCCCATATAGTAATTCATCCCCCCCATAGTAATTCATCCCCCCTATAGTAATTCATCCCCCCTATAGTAATTCATCCCCCATAGTAATTCATCCCCCATAGTAATTCATCCCCCATATAGTAATTCATCCCCCATAGTAATTCATCCCCCATAGTAATTCATCCCCCATAGTAATTCATCCCCCATATAGTAATTCATCCCCCATATAGTAATTCACCCCCCATTGTAATTCATCCCCCATAGTAATTCATCCCCCATAGTAATTCATCCCCCCTATAGTAATTCATCCCCCATAGTAATTCATCCCCTATAGTAATTCATTCCCCATATTAATTCATCCCCCATATTAAGTCCCCAAGTCCCCCCTGTGTCAATTCACTTACCTTTGCTCCGCGCGTTCCTCTCGCCGTGTTCCCGCGCCGTTCCGGTGTAGCATGAAAATCTGTCTCCTATGAGGATCTGTCCCCCTCGACGTATCTGCGTATGTGCCAGTTTCAGGCATTAGCAGCCGATCGGCGATCTCGGCGCACATACGTCGTGGGGGACAGATCCTCATAGGAGACAGATTTTCATGCTACACCGATCTTCAGGGTGGACTGTGAGAGGAGCCTAGCTCCTCTCACGTTCGTCACGTTGCCCCGCCTACACACATCCTGACAGCCATCCTGACAGTATCACGCTCCGCGGGCCGGATTAAAAGGTCCGCCGGGCCGTAGTTTGCCCATTGCTGGTTTAAAACATATAAAAACAACTATATAAACTTGACCATCTATCATTATAGTTTCTATTTAAATATCAAACAGAACTAACAGCTACTGCCATACTTTTAACTGACATCTGCAAATATAAAGGGTATATTTATAAAGTGGTGAATGTAACATTTACCAAATATTCAATGCTGGTGAGTCTTCATGGTGCATGTGTTCTGTTTCAAATGCCACTTTATGCCTTGGCATTTCTCCTTAAATGCAATCTGGCCAGACAGTATCGTCACCTGCTAATTTGGCATCAGCCACAGGCAGCTTAACTCTTCAAAGACATTGAATACCGGGCAATTTTACTTCAGCTAATTGCATTACAGAGGGTGCTTTTCCAGGTCTTTGAAGTGTTAGAAGACAATGGGGGAGATTTACTAAAACTAGCGTACTCAGAATCTGGTGCAGTTGTACACGATAGCCAATCAGCTTTTAAAGTGTTACTAAACCCACAACAATAAAAATCAGTCTGTATATGCAGTAAAGCATGCTTGTTATACTCACTGTGGAACCTAAGGGGTTAATCATCTGCATTTTGTAAAAAGGCTGTTTAATCCTGACTTCTCTGCTCGTCCTCTTGTTCAAATGTCCACACTGATAAGACAAACTGAACCCGTAGCCCTTCTGCACATGCTCAATTTAGTGTATGTTGATAGATAGGTTTATTTTTCCTTGGAGAGTGCATGTGATCAGCACAGGGCCAATCAACTGTCCAGACGGAGGTCAAGGGTTTTGCATCCTCCTAGAGCAGATAGAAAACTCCTCCTACAAGCTTTGACCAGTGCTCTGCTGGACAATGATAGAAATCACAAGACTGCTAATGAGAAAAGGTGTTTAGCAGTTTATATTTACTAAAATAATTGCACTTCCATGTTTTGTGTACTGTGGGAGATCAGATATAGTGGATGCAGGGTCCTGAGTTTAGTAACACTTTAACTTCAGATTGTCCAGTTAGGCATTGGCAATAAAACCTGGAAACTGATTGGTTCCTGTGCAGCATGGCACCATATTTTGAACTCTCCGGTGTTAGTAAATTCTCTATGAATGAATTCCCTAAGACCTTTCTCTGTGAAGTACTACAACTGACTGAGGGAACAGGAAAGAAATGGGTAGGATGGAGCTAGGATTGAACTAACTAAACAGGAGAGGAGGACAGAGGGAGAAAGCAAAATCACATAGTAAACAAGCTGCAGTGGTTTAAAACCTCCAATAGATGTCAGCATAATACTGAACAATAATAGCTTGATGTGGATCAACACAACACAGAAAAAAAATATGTGTATGTAAGTCAGAACAGCACGTGTTTTAAATTACAGGGAAAGATTGACCAGCTGTGAATGATTGGTGAATGTGACATACACTGCTTTAAAAAATATGACCCTAAGATTGGACCCACATACTTTTAGGGTGCCACCTGGTGTTCACCACAGTATGGTACACCTCCATTTCTTTCAAAAGAACATACATAGAAGTGAGACAGTTGTTCAGAGAAAATGGTAGAATAATTAGTAACCACTTTATAGTCCATGTTTAGAAATCAGAGCATTGCTATGGCTTCACTACACACAAGCAGACTTTGTCATTTGTATGTTGCTCTAACACAATGAAGTTTGTTGAATCAGTCTTTGCCTCTCTTGCCTGAGGGCCCACTTCACCTTTCCCAGTCAACTGCTATTTTTCCTGAAAAAAAAACAAAACAGGAGTCTCTACTGAGTTCATAGGCATGCAGGCAAGAATATCATGACATAGCTGCCAAATCTCTGATTTATTTCAGGTACTTATATAGCGCCATCAATTTACACAGCGCTTTACATACAGTTGTGTTCAAAATGATAGCAGTCAGACATCACTAACCTGATCAATCACTGTTTTTGGTAGAAATGATATTTCTACATGGCAAATAATTTACTAGCAGGGTGTAGTAGAGTAATACAAATCCAACAGACCCAACAGTCATGACATGCATGCTGCTGATTCTGTGTAATTGAATCACTAATTGAAAGGGGCATGTTCAAAATAATAGCAGTGTGGAGTTCTATTAGTGAGGTCATTCATTCTTTGAAAAACAGGTGGCAATTATTGCCCTTATTTAAGGAAGGAAGGCAGCAAATGTTGTACATGCTGGTTACAGTGCATTTCTCTCTGAAATTCTGAGGAAAATGGGTCGTTCCAGACATTGTTCAGAAGAACAGCGTACCTTGATTAAAAAGTTGATTGGAGAGGGGAAAGCATATAAAGAAGTGCAGAAAATGATAGGCTGCTCAGCTAAAATGATTGCAAATGCTTTAAAACGGCAACCAAAACCTGAAAGACGTGGAAGGAAGCGAAAAACTACCATTCGAATGGATAGAAGAATAGCCAAAATGGCAAGAACTCAGCCAACAATCAGCTCCAGGAAGATCAAAGAAGGTGTAAAGTTCCCTGTGAGTACTGTTACAATTAGAAGATGCCTATGTGAAGCCAAGCTATCTGCAAGAAGTCCCCGCAAAGTCCCACTGTTGAAAAAAAGACGTGATATAACCCAGTACTCCACTCTAAAAATTGAAAAACCATTATAAAAGTGTCTATGCATACAAACGGACAAATGTATATATGGACAAAAGTTAAATGAACAAACATAAATATTGCAAACAAAGTCGAAGACGAATAAAGCAATCAAATGTGCAAAATGTCCGTACAGATGAATAAATATCCTGGTAAACAATCCAAAATCAGGATGGAAAATCCCAAAGGAAAAGAAGACACTTCAAAATGTAAGATGGAGAGCAGTCAGTGCTGCAGGAATAGAGGGTGCCAGGAAAACACAGCACCCACATGTAAGGTGAACTCCTTATCAGAGACACTGAGATCATGAAGCGCCTTACTGTCCCACAGCACAAAATATTCAGACACGCCCATGGGAGGACTGACAACTCATGGGGCCCCCGGGCAATAGGGGATCATGGGGCCCCTGTGTCCTTGCCCAAACTCAAAAAAGCCTATAAAAAAAGGTACCAGGGGCATCTCATGGGGCCCCCTACTGACCCCGGGCCCTCGGGCAGTGCCCGAGTTTCTAAATGGTCAGTCCCCCTGGACACGCCACTCCATTTGGATACAATCCTGTATAAGTGTGCTCAGCACAGAGGAGTTAAACAAGAAGGGACCACCATAGTGCAGCATGTTAAAACCCAGTGCTTTTAAAACCACTTGCCTACCGGGCACTTATACCCCCTTCCTGGCCAGGCCAACTTTCAGCTTTCAGCACTGTCGCACTTTGAATGACAATTGCGTGGTCATGCAACACTGTACCCATATTACATTTCTAGCATTTTTTCACACAAATAGAGCTTTCTTTTGGTGGCATTTAATCGCCGTTGGTGTTTTATTTTTTGGGCTATAAACAAAAAAAAAATTTTAACAATTTAAAAAAAAAAGTTTTTCTTTGTTTCTATTATAAAATTTTGCAAACAGGTAATTTTTCTCCTTCACTGATGTGCGTTGATGAGGCTGCACTGATAGGCAGCACTGATGCACTGAGGTGGCATGGATAGGCAGCACTGATGGGTACTGATAGGCAGCACTGATAGGCGGCACTAATGAGCTGGCACTGATGATGCGGCACTGACTGATGATGCTGCACTGATATGCAACAATGATGGGCACTGATAGGCGGCACTGACTGTTGGCACTGCTGATCACTGACTGGCGGCACTGATGGGTGGCACTGACTGACTGCACTGACCGGCAGCACTGCTGGGCACTGACTGGCGGCACTGATGGGTGGCACTGACTGACGGCACTGACTGGTGGCACTGCTGGACACTGATAGGCAGCACTGATGGGCACTGATAGGGGGCACTGATGGGCAGCACTGATGGGCACTGTGTATGGTGGCACTGAGTGGTGGCTGTTCAACAGGTAAAAAGTTTTGGCATAAAATTAGCTGCTGGGCATTGAATGGTGATGGCACTGCTGAGTACTGATGGGTGTGGCACTGACTGATAAGGCACTGACTGGCAGCACTGACTGGGGGCACTGACTGGCGGCACTTTTGGGCATGATGGGGTGCACTGCTGGGCACTGGTGGGTGGCATTACTATCGGGCTCTGATAGGCACAGGTGGGTGAGGCACTGCTGGGCACTGATGTAAGGCACAAGGTGGATGGCACTGCTGGGCACTAGTGGGTGGCACTGCTGGGCACAGGTGGGTGTCACTGGTTTAGGTGACACATTTCTGCTCAGGGCACTGATTATCAGTGTTCCTGATGATCTGATGATCGGTCCCAGTCCATCCTCTGACAATTGCCTGTTATTGGCAGTACTTTTCTCATGCTGTGACAGCGTGAGGAAAGTGCAGCCGATAACTGGCAACTGCATTTACCGGTGATCTGCTGTGTCATTGGACACAGCTGATCACGTGGTAAAAGGCCGCTGTGATTGGCCTTTTACCACATCATGTGATCAGCTGTGTTTGTAGGACACAGCGATCACGGAGATCACCAGGTGCGAGCCCCTGTGGGTGCGCAGGATGGCACGTTCTGGGAGGACGTCTTATTATTATTATTATACAGGATTTATATAGTGCCAACAGTTTGCTCAGCGCTTTACACTATAAAGGGAGACAATACAGCAACAATACAGTTCAATACAAGAGGGATAGGAGGGCCCTGCTCCTTAGAGCTTACAATCTAGAACTATAGTGCGGCTGGCAAGTGCTTAATATGGTAATGTGCTTACAATAAAAAGGCAATCACAAGCATATAACAATGAGCATCGCTGGATTCTGCCAGTGTGCATAATAGCGTCACGTCTTTGGCCCTGCCCTAGTGCGTTTCACTGTAAACAGCAACAATAGGAATGATCTTATGCGCTGCCAAAAACCGTGAATGAAACTAAACTAAAAAGCAGTAAGCACCAAAAAGTGTTCCATCACTACACAAAAATATAAAAAAGTCACGCAAAATATAAAATAAAATAAATTAAATGAACACCCAGCTGACCCCCTGGCATGGGTCGTAGAAGAACTGCAAATAAGACACTAAACACATGACAAAAAATGTGATAATAAATAATACATCAAAAAAATGGTAATACATATACAGTATATTAGTGACTAAAAATTGAATTGGCATCAATAAAGTTCATAAAAAGTGACAGTCCGTGATAACGGTACATCCACAATGTGTAGTTCCGTGAACCTTCCCCTTTGGTGTTCTGTGATATCCACCACTGCCAGCATGCACGCTCACCTCCACAAGTTGACCCACATCACATAGGTCAAACTAGACATAACTCCAATTCCTCATTCCCTGATAAAGCGTGGTGACGTTATTTCTGGTACGGCGACTATTGCCGCCATCTTTGTTTTCCTTTTATCCATGCTGTTTGAGGGTTAATATCCCATATATTTTATGTGAGTGCACTCTGCATTATTTGAGATTTGTTTATAAATTTAACCTTACTGCACTATGAGGAGCCCCTTTCCTTTTTTATATACAGTATCCGATTATGATATCCTGTGGGTTCTGGTGGTGTGGAGTTCCCAGTGGCCAGGGCACACAGATGAATGAGGAATTGGTGTTATATTTTATATGACTTTACACTATGGTTACTAGGTCATTTTTGTAATAGGATAGGGTATAGAGTTTACATTACTTATTGATGCCCTGATTGGGTATTCATTTTACTGTCTGATTGAGGCTCTGTCGGGTGTTTACTTATTTTATCTTACTGAATTCTGTTGCACTTTATGTATTAATAATATTATTTTTCTTACACAGTGAGTTAGGGGATAGTTATATAGTGCAGCGCTATTTAAATCACTGTAAACAGCTTCTTCAGAGGATAGAGTCCATTTAACATGGTTTCCTATGGATCTAGTTCACATCTGTGTGTTTTGAGCCACTGTGTTTTTTGGGAAGGGTTTGGGACTTTTTTTCCCGCAGCAGATTGCATTTTGCATGTAATAGACTTCAATGACTATTGTTGCGTTTTTTAATGTTTTACGTATTTTTTTTGACTATCTGGAAAGTATAACAGTTCCGTTCTTGTTGGACAACTGTGATATGACTTTGCACTCTTTGGCTCTCAAGTCGCATCAAAGTAATGCAAGAACCTTTATGTGTCCAAAGTCAAATTTTTTTGGCTTATAGGAAAGTCAGTTCTGTTCATGCAGTGTGACTGTGATGCGACTTTACACTCTCTGGAACTCAAGTAGCATCAAGATAGCATCAAAGTAGTGCAGGATCCTTTTTGTGTCCAAAGTTACATGTTATTGTTAAGGCAGTGGTGTATTTAGGTTTTGTGCTGCCCTAGGCAACACAAAAATTGGCTCCCCCCACATGGAGAGACCCTGACACCGACCAACACCCACCTCCCCCACGAAGAGTGCCTGACATTGACCAACAACACCCCAGCCTCCCCCCCCACCCGAGAAGAGAGCCTTCCACTACCACCGTCCCCCATACACTGACAACAACCCACCCCAAGAGAGAAAAACACTCACCTTCACAGCTCCAGACATCCCCGGGAACAAGAGTCAGGCTTTGCATACACCATCAAGCAGCCCTTCAGCCTCTCTCAGATCCCACCTGGTCCCTGTGCTGTGTGTGTCTCTTCTTCCATCCCTTCTTTAATTGGGCGGCATTGCCCCCCTGAAAGATGTCGCCCTAGGCAAATGCTAATGTTAGGGTTAAGGGCTAGAGTTAGATGTTAGGGTTAAGAGCTAGGGTTAGGGTTAAATGTAAGGTTTAAGGGATAGGGTTAAATGTTAGGGTTAAATGTTAGGGCTAGGATTAGGGTTAAATGTTGGTGTTAAGATTAAATGTTAGGGCTAGGGTTGGGGCTAAGAGCTAGGGTTAAATGTTGGGGTTAGGGTTACATGTAAGGTTTAAGGGCTAGGGTTAGAGTTAAATGTTAGAAGGAAATGAGTATTGGCGCAGGAGAGGTGGTAGTGGATATAATACTCCCAAGAGTCAATAGGGAGATGGAGGAAGTTTAGCTACAAGGATATGTAGGGCCTCTCCAAAAAAAGGGTTAAATAGTTGAAGAGGTATGAGTTATTTGGTGGAGAGTGGGGATAATACAGCATAGGTAGTTCTGGGAGAGAGGGGGGTTCTTTAAAACGCTGCAAGGTATGGCACCGTCATGAGGCAGCACCCTCTAGAGTTAAGCGGTACTCTGCAGTGAGAAATAAAAGGAGAGAGAGGTGCGCCAGACTAAGTGCAGTATAAAAACAACAGTTTATTGCACACAAATATGAGTAACTCACAGGAGGTAGAGAGTTTTCAGGCATCAAATATAAGGGAGGACGTCATCCGGGTGTAGTACCATACACAGGATGGATAGGCTGGATGGGTTCCAGGGGCCACAGCTGACTTGAAGGCTAGATCTCCATAACTGATCTCATAGGAGGAGCAGGGAGGGCAGGTGGATATCCAGGGGGCCACGGTGCATGTGAGAGCCGGGTCTCCTGTTAGGTGTTTTGCCTCTCCAGCCAGCATGGGCTGTGTCACGTTGGTGGAAAACCAGCCTGGAACGCAGACAAGATGGCCGCCGGGCGGAAGTGACGCCAGGACAGAACGTGGAGCCACAGGAAGGGGGCGGTGACGCGTTTCAAAGCAATCAGCTTCTTCATCAGACCTAATTCCCCCCCTTTATGTGGCCTACAATTTACTATATGCATTTAGGTGTGTTTATGAATGTATATATGAATATATATATGTATATGTGAAGTCGCACTACGTGAACTAAACTATCATACTTTCCTATTAGCCAAAAAAAAAGAGCAAAATGCATCAAAAACGCTCAGAAATGCAAAACGCACTGGAAAAATGCATCACCCGCAACCTGATGTGAACCTAGCCTAAGTGTCTTCTGTAATAAAGAAACATACTTCGCAGTGTACACCGAGTGTACAGAATAATGTACAATTTCCACATCTGACAAGTGTAGTGAGCTCTCATGCATGTGTGGGAATTTAGGCATCCCAGTGTGGCTGATGATCTTGTTCCCAGAAGAAGACCAAGCAAAGAGGCTGGTGGCCAGCGAAGGAGCTTGCAGGTGTCATATTGTTGGTGAGAAAATTAATATTGTTCAGATTTAAGCATTACAGCAACATTTTTATTTCTTCTTTCACAAGCATAAGAATAAAAGGTGATTGTTGTACGCTCCCCAGCAATGTTATAGTTTGTTCCAGCACCTGCAACTGTCATTGTACAACTTGGTCTGTATTCACCTGGGGCTTAGATAAGAAGGAGGGCATACAGAGGTCCAGCTTGCACCATCCCCCAGATTGCCTGTGTTGGCAACTGAATGACCGTCTCAGTTTTCCTTGGCCAGTGCCTTCTTACCGTGGCTTTGCTTATAAATTGACTTTCTGAACCTTGTGGCAGTTGTAGTATTCATGGAATAAAACAAGTTGGAAACCACACAAAACTGCATAAATTAAAAGTGAGCAGCAAACACAAAAGAAGATATTCTCTCTAATTACATGCAATACAATAATAAGTGTGTTGTGCAAATAAATAAAGTTAATAAAATGATCAAAAATTGTTCACAAAAATATTTTCAATGAATAGTGCATAAAGATAAGTCCACAGAAAATGAAAAGGGAGTAAACTGGCCATACACGGGTCAAATTCAGAAAGAATTTTCTTTCAAAAATCTTTTCTAAGAATTTTCATTCGAATTTTGCACCGTTAGTGGGTCACGTAACCATCAAATTTGAGTGATTGGAAATTTTTTGAAAAACGAACAAATTTCTTATCAATGATGAGAGAATCATGTTAGAAATGTAATAAAGAAATGAGCTGCGACCTGGAAAAAAAAGATTCTTGGCCACGAAAATTCTTTTCTGTAGCAATGATGTGAAATTGAAGGCTTGGTTTGT